ATTTAGGGAGTGAAAATACTGTGAAAAGCCTTGAATAACAGTGTTCTTAATTAAATTCATAAGTGTTAACCAATAATGTGTCGATGTTTTTCAAATCTGCAAAGTTCAGTTTCTAAATTCAGGACACTGTCAATATCTCAAAAACGACCGACGTTAAAAGACAATCCTAGCCAATTTGTACGGATGACGTGGTGAAATATGACTGCATGAAAAAAAAATGTATAAACCTTTATCGGTAGTGAAAATTTGTTTAGCTAAAATCGAACTTGTAAACATTTTCCAAAGTATTTCTTTTTTTTCCCATTGACACAACTCCAATTAACTTACGCATTGGAACAATAAGAGAACTGGCAAGGTTTTCCGTTATTAGAATTATATTTTTTAATTTACTTTTCTTTTCGAGTTGATAATAGGTTGTCGGACGTCAATATACGGCATCCCATTATAATCAACAACGTACACATTGGTTTGAGAATAAGGATCAATTGAATTCACATAAGGGTACAGATGCAGTACAACCAATAACACTTGATAATATATATTCAACATGTTTACAATCGTTAAATGTATCTACTGAAGATGGCCACAGAAAATATCATCTAGTGTTTAATGTAGATGAAGCAAATTACGGTCTGTTGAAATCTTGTGGAAATGTTCCCGATGGATGTGCAGATGATTGTTTCTTTGGTGTATCAATTGATAATTTGAAGCCCTATCAGCAAGACCAACCGAATAATAGTACAGTTTCAATGGAATCAAGAAGAAAAAATCTGACTGGTGGTGAAAAAGTCAAAAAGCCTATCAAAGATAAAAAAGTCAAAAAGATTAACAATGATAACAAAATCAAAAAAGATTAATAATGATGGAAATCCTATTGTTCGTTCAAGTTTTCTACTTTTTCTTAATATCTTCATTGTAAAAGCAATATTTTGTTCATATTTATACTAAGTTGAGGTGTGTTACTTTTCCTAATTTTTCTAGCTTACATAGTTAATCTTATTTCGAAGTTATTTTTGCTAGTCCTTCTATTATAATATAGAAATTTGTTTATAAAATATTTTCGTGAACAAGAATATATTACAGATGGTTAGACCTTTGGTTTCATGTTGCATTTATAAACGACTTCTTATACGTACATTGATAATACATTATTTCATTTATGGTTAGGGTGTGGGTGTGGGTGGGAGGGTGAGAATGTCGGTGCAGATGTGGGTGTGGGTGTGTGGGTCGATTAAGACGTCTTGACATCCGTACTCACATCCACACCCACACTCACACCCACCCACACCCACATCCACCCACACCCACACCCGCACCCACGCCTACACCCACACCCTCTGTTTACGTTGCATTTTATATGTAATATGTGCAAGTCTACAAAATTCTGAATTCTGCTTGGTAAGAATTCTGCAACCCCTCGTTATTAATAGCTGTTCAAGTTTCTGTTGCTGGATCATACAACTCAGCACTATTTAGATAGATATCACTAAGATGTCCACCAGTAACCAATACTTTTCCATTTGTTAAGACGGATACTCTGTGATCACGTCGTCCGTTATTCATGCTAGCAGTTGTTGTCCAATTACCTGTTGATGGATCATACAATTCAGTACTATTCCCACAATCACCATAACATCCACCAGTAACTAATACTTTTCCATTTGTTAATACAGATGCTGTATGATCGGATCGTGGCTCATTCATATAACTAGTAAGTGTCCAATTGCCTGTTGATGGATTATATAACTCAGCACTATCTGGAACGACATTACCATCGTATCCACCAGTAACTAATACTGTTCCGTTTGCTAAGACCGATGCTGTGTGCCACTCTCGTCTATAATACATGCTACCAGTAACTGTCCAATTACCTAGTGATGGATCATACAATTCAGCAGTTTTCATATAATCACCAAAAGCTCCACCAGTAATTAAGACTTTTCCATTTTTTAAGATGCATGCTGTCGGCCATTCTCGTCCATAATGCATGCTACCAGTAATTGTCCAATTACCTGTTGATGGATTATACAACTCAGCACTATATTGAGTATCACGATCACCTGCTCCACCAGCAACTAAGACTTTTCCATTTGTTAACACTGATGCTGTGCGCAGATGTCGTGCACGATTCAGGCTACCAGTAATTGTCCAATTACCTGTTGATGGATCATACAATTCACTACTATTTATCCAAGAACCATGTCTAAATCCACCAGCAACTAAGACTTTTCCATCTGGTAATACAGATGATGTGTGATGATATCGGTCGATATGCATATTACCAGTAGCTGTCCAAGTTCCTGTTGATGGATCATACAATTCACTATTATTTAGATAACCATCATCAAGATTATATCCACCAACAACTAAGACTTTTCCATTTGTTAATAAAGATGCTGCATGATAACTTCGTTTACTACTCATGTTGCCAGTATTAGACCATCCTAGAAGGAAATATTCAAAAATATATTCATTTTGTAAATATTGTGTATTATGGAATTCTCAAAAGTATGTAATAATCAGCAAAACGTTTTAGATTTCGTAACATGAATCTTTTCAATTTTTCTAGAGATTACAAAAAAGGTCTCGAACTTGTTGCAAGAAATTATGCATAATATGATAGCACAATAAGCTTCATATTTCATGAATTATATGCATGGCAAATAGATAAATTAACTTTGGTTTTTCTATTTGTCATTACATTATTTAGAAGAATAAATACACGTTCGATCGTATGCAGCAATAGCATTTTCGAAAGTTAATAAATGTTTTTCTAAAACTTACCTGACTGATGGGCAGTAATGGTAGATATTGTTGATGCTGTAGTCAATGTCGTTGTTGTTAGCGGTGATAGTGTTGATCCCATGTAACCATTTTTAGGATTAGTGACGCGTTTCCGAGCGTTTGTGCAATATAACGTGACGCGTTAAAACGCGTCCAAAATGCAACATTTTAGGGCGTTCAAACGCGTTTCATTCAATAAACGCATCTACACTGGTTTAAATTCGTGCGTTTAATTTATTCCCAAAAAAAATTCAAAAATAATCATCACCCTATATTGGAATCGAACCGACGCACCATAGCGAGCTATGATATAAGACTCAAATCCTGTCAGCGACCGAATGGTAATTTTTCAGCGACAACTTGAACCGAGATTTGAACACGCAACCAACTGATTGCGAACCAAGCACAACTAGCTCTGAGCCATCCATGCCTCGAAAGTGTTTCTATATCATTGAACCAAATGAATAATTCTTTTTTCTCTCTTTAATATAAGGTTTCACAATGGAGATATTGTGATTTATCTTTACTTCGTGAAATAATTATAAATAAAATATTTATATTTATAATATCCATAAAATAGAAAATTTACATTTATGAAATAAAAATGAAGATTTTAAGATTTTAATTTTAAAAAATGAAGATTTTTTTATTTATTTTTATTTTGTAAATATTATAAATATGAATATTTTATTTATGATTTATCTGTATTTCATAAAATAATCATATATAAAATATTTAAATTTATAATATTTATTAAATAAAATATTTACATTTACAAAATAAAATCCTTATCTTCATAAAATAAAGAAGATTATGTTTCTTTATTTTTTTACAAAATAGAGAAATTAAAGAATGAAAATAGTTTATTTAAAGGTAGACAATTATACAATTTAAAATGAAGATAATACAGTTTTCTCTGAAATATATGGAAAAAATAAAATCTTAGATTTTTACGTGAAAAAAAATCATCAAATTTTTATTTTCTAAAAATGAAAGACTCATTTTTTTTTACTTTATAAAACCAAATACAAGGCCAATTATTATTATATCATTAAATATAAACAAAACTATTTGTATTAATATTATTTTTTTAAATGTAGAAAACTTATTATTTGAACAATATTTTTAATTTTTAATAATTCAAACATCGTTATATATATATTGACAATTCAACACGCATCAACTTATTTCAAAAAAAAATAAAAGGATATTTTTTGTCATCTATTCAACAAAAAATAGTAAATTTCAATTTAAAAAGACCGGCTTATTTTTTGCATTCCCTTTTTTCCAAATAATGCCAATAAATATTCAATATATTTTGACTAACACAAATTAGAAATAATAAACAAAAAGCATTTTTAGCGGCTGGTAAATAGCTTCTTTTAATTGTTGAGTATATTTCTAAACGCATGAAAAGGTCTGGAGCAGACCAACGCGTTTCGAACGAAAATAAAAACGCATGTGTACGCGTTTATCTCAGTTTTTGCTATCAAGCTCGTAATGCTCTTTAAACGCGTTCAAACCGAACGCGTTTCCATTATTCTTTAATACGAAAACGCGTCGAAACGCCGGCATTTTCAATAAAAACGCGTCAGAACGCCAATATTTTCAACAGAAACGCATCTAGCCGCGTCCATTGTGCGTTTCGTGGTTACATGGGATGTTGATGTAGATGTTCGTGGTGATGTTGTAGTGGTAGTAGAGGTTTCTGACTTGGTAGGTGCAAAAACGACGAATTTCAACACTAGAGAGAGGGTCACTACAAAAATTGTTAAAAGTATAAAAGCCATGCAGATGATTTTAACCCAACGATGATGCCACCATTTTTGTCGTCGGTTATTTTCAAAGACAAACTCACTATCTCTCTGGTTGGTATGCATATTGTGTTTTACAAGATTTGTAAACCAAAAAAAACTAACGAGCTATTGTTTGAGACTAAATTATATTTGTCTGTTCTTTTGAAGGAGCACGAAAAGATAAGTAATATCATCTCCAACACCAAAAGGATCGCCATACTCTTATCTTTATATAATAAATTTTACATGAGAGTATAATAACACAAAAAACAATGCCTTACTTCGAAGTTTTTCTACGTGGGTGTGCATGAGGGTAGCGGTTTGAGTTTGAAATGAAGGAAAAATCAATACCCTCACCCTCACCCTCAGTGAAAAAATAAATTTCACTTGAAGTTTGAATTCTGTGTATCTTAATTAATATTAAAATTGTATTACTGCGTATGTTGGATGAATGAAATGATATTGTTTAGTTATTGAATATTTTGTTATTATATATAAAAATCTTTCATAAGATTTTTTTAATCGTTTCATTTCTGATGATTTTAAATTTATTGGATTTAATACATTAAAACTCCATATATCATTGGGTACCATCATAAGTATATCGTCCATAAAATATTGACATGAATGAATCCATTTACCATCAAGAATAATATCATGTCTTCGAAATGAAAATGGATTTTCATAATCATCAGGAGAATATTTCGAAAATTGAAACAATGTTTTATCCCAATAAGAATAAGTTTCAGTTAAATATTGAATTTTATTAAAATAAGGATGAATATATTTCGATGAAGATGTTTTAGCATTTTTATATAATGGTAATGAACAATATTCTTCATTAAAATGTTTTTCATATAATAAGAAGTATGAAAAAAAGATTGTTGAATCTGATTTAATAATAATGAATGATCAATTATTTTATTAAATAATTAATGACAATCATCTCGATATATTTCAGGTCTTAAAAGATGTGTTTTCCAAACTATTTCAATATCTATAGTTGGAACAAGATAAATTTTAGGATATAAACTTTTCAATATCATAAATCGATCATATTGTCTAATCATGTGTTGTAATATGACTGATTTACGCCATTGATTTCGAAATTTTGAAGTTTTTTCTAATAATGATATTAATTCATGAGCAGTTTTGTCAAGATCAACTGATAACTGAATAATCCTATAAAAGAAAATGAAGATCTGAATGAATCAAACTTTGATTTACATTTTTGATGATGAATTTGGATGTTGATTAAATCCAAATATAGGGAAAAATAATTGACTATTTATTGATTGAAGAGAAGATGAAGATTCTAATTCCCAAGGTATTTTCATATATCGATATTCTTCTTCATATCCTTCTAATTCTTCATTCCAAAGATATTTCTCATAAATCCAATCAACAGAAATTTGTTTATACAATTCGGAATTTAATTCGTTTGATACTATTGTATATTTAAATCAATTTAAATTATTAAAATAAATTTAACTTACTGTTACATTTTATTTTCCATTTTTTATTTTGATCAATAATCATTTTAAAATATCGACAAACTAATAAAACATTTTTTAGATCATGAACTGAAAGTGATTTAAATATTTTGTGTATTATTTTAGTAGGTATAACAAAAAATGGTGAGTTTAATAATGCATTTTGTGTTTCATCGTATGTCCACACATGTTTAAAGATTAATTGAGGAAGAAAATTTTCTATTTTACTTCCAATAAAATCAATTATTTCCAATTCATCGTCTTCATTATTTAATTTATGAGCTAAAATTATTATTTATGTTGATCATTAACAAATACAAACAAAAACAAGTTAAAGCAGTTTTTTGAGGAATGTTCAACAAGAATAAATTCACCATTTATGCTTTTCGCTTTGCATTTATTATTTTTCGTATCAAATTCATAGTCTTGTGACAAATTCACGACTAAATTTTCTAGATGGAACCATAAATGTAGAGTTTTGAAGTGATAATGTAGAGGGAATATCATAAATGGTGAGTTTTTTTCTGGTTGAACATTGCTGCATTTGTTTATGTATATTTTCTTATTTTATACCAAATAGACAAAATACTGAGATACCATTTTATAGTGAACTATAGGTTATCAATCGTGTTCATTTTGAATATGATTATATCAACGACTCATGAACCATTATCTCAGGACGCTTTTCTAAACGAAAACAATTTTTTCGATTTATCTAGACAAAACTTTCCAGTGATCTGTTCGTCCGAAGAGAGATCAATATGAACAGCTTGCCATAAGTAGAAATTCTTTCGAAATTGGAGAGAAGGAAGAGTTCTCCTCGCTTATGACAAACTTAGTTTAAATGCTTGAACACTGTCCAATAACTTTCCTTATTATATTTTATACAAAATTATAATTATGACTGAATTTGTTCTACAGATATTTTGAAATGAAGAAATTATCATTTCATAGAAAGATAAAAAAAAAGGTTTTACCCTGGCAAATTGGTTTTAAAAAAATCGTTTTGAGAAGGTTCATGTAGCGATCGTTGGATAATATTCGAAATCGTCGCTAGCAATAACTCATAGTTCACTGGTTTTTCATTCAAAAAGTAGTTTGACAATTGAGACAGTTGTCTCCTTGATTTTTATTTAGTTTTGTATAAAAATATACAAAGAAGAGAAGAGAAATATGTCTGTTTATACAGATTATTCGTAAAGTCTTACTCTGTGTGAAATTGGTGGATTTACAGGAATATAGAAGAGATAGAACACTTGTCATGACATTATATTTCCACACAATTTGTATGAATTATGGTCATTTAGTCATGTATAACATGGATGATGAGAGAAAAAAGTGCGTAAAAGAAAAAAAAACATGTCATTAGCATCTTTATTTTCCTTTTATTATTAGACATAGAATCAGTATTGTTTCTTTTCCTCTCTCATCTCCCGTTATGTGCCAAATGAATGACGTGATCAAAACAAGACGAAACCAATTTGATTGGTATACGATTAAGACGAGAGTTATGTCAATATTGATTACCATCAGATGTATCTTTGATATTATTAATGAGTTTTTCATGATACAATAAAAATAACTTTGTAAATAGATTAACAAAGGATTTTTATTAACCTTCTCAATGAGAAAATGGCGATGAGTTATTATTTCTTTTAGATGTATTTAGACAATCATAATTTCATATTGTTGTTGGACGACATTAGAAATCCTATGATAGTTCGACGTTGGTTTTCACAGACACATTGAGAGTTTCGTGACAAAAGATGTTTCATGAAATTTTGTCTTGTAAAAACTTGATGGTATATGACACGTATAAAGAAACTAAGTACGTGAAGAGTATCAGAAAGAAGATAAGCAATATTCCAAGTCAAAAAAAGAAGAATCAGGTTTGACCAGATCATATAAGATCCTATGCGTACAAGATTTTCTGTACGATCTTGTCAAAAGATCCAACAAGATGAGGGCGGGGTGATGGTGAGAAGGTCTTTTGTTCAGTAACTCTCACCCTCACACCCACACCCGGCAGAAGTAGCAAGATTCAATTTCTGGTGAAAGCGGACTTCTCTTTTGTTCTTTTCTGTTGTCATTCCATCATGCTGCTGATCGGTAATAACAGTTTTGCTTTGAGTATCGGACGAAAGTTATGAAGAAGGGTAGTTTTAAAGAATTCCATTTTCGATCTGAAAACGACATATCAAGTACTGTAATATTACAATAATATAAATATGAATTAAAGAACAATAAGAATTAGTCAACGATTTATATAAGACAATAATAACTAACTAGAAAGGGGTAGCATGAATTTCGTCGTACATTTGAAACGTTGATCGAAAAGGTATTTGCTCAATTTAGACATAGCCCTCACCCTCACCTAGTGGTGTGTGTGCGTGTTAATTATGCCAATTAGTATATAAACTGCGTTTAAGGAAAATAAATGCTGCTGAAAGTCTACTGCGAAATTCAGTACGACAAAATTCGTGTTTCCACTAGAAAGTACGAACAGTAATGATCGAAACGAGTAAATAAGCTAGATAAATGAAACAACAATGAACAATGTAGTCACCATTTATGACCACTAATGACTGCGTTAAGTCAAAATTGTAAAAAAAATCATTTCTTATGTTCCAGCGGCAAAGATGTTTCACTGAATATTTTAATATTTGCATTTCCTGCTCGAAAAAAGAACCTTCTTATTCAAAACTCAGAAAACACATGACAGATAAGTGGTCTATCTATTTTAAGCAGCCTATCTGGCCTTTGAAAGGCTGAAAATCAGAGCTAATTTCTAATTTCTGTGTCAGACAGGCTCGATGATCTGTTTGGACCTATGGTGTATACTTAATTAACAATTAGTGTCGACCATATCATCATATTTCTTATATCATTAAGTGATCGAATAATCTTTTATTGTGTATTTATTGATATACTAGCTAACATATAGTAAAGGCGAGACAAACGATAAAATACTGAAACAATAGTACGCATACAATATACATTCAACAACATCAAACAAATATTTCTATGTAATAAGAATGTAAAGTAATATGATTCTGTTACCATCTAAACTCTAGTTTCATCTATGGTCTCATTACCAATGACTGTCGTTCCTGGTAATACTGGATGTATTCGTATTCCACGATGACAGAATGTTTTCAAATGATCTCGCCATTGTTTCAATTCCTTGCGTGTTTCAGGCAGTGAACTAATAATAGCGAATGACAAGAATTGATTAATAAACAAGAAAAGATAATAGAAACAATTATCTTGTATATCACTTAAAAAATCTCGCGTCCATAAAATTTGAATAACACCAACAATAACTCCTGGTGCCATGAAAATCAAGTAAAGAAGAGAAATAAATACAAGTTGAATAATCATTCGTTTTTGACGATTCCATTGAATTCGTTGTTGTCGTTTTACTTTTTTCGATATAATACGACAAAATAGGAATAAATTTACAAAAATTATAATTAATATTGGCATACCATAATGAAATAACCAATCAAATGAATTTAAAAATTTATCAGTATATGTATAACATGGAGCTACACAAAGCATGACTGTATAATACCAAACATTAACACATTTTGGTGGAAAAAATATGTAGCGAATGTAGAAAACTGGTGTATATAACGAACATACAATCAAAGGTATATAATGAAATAGAATCAAACAATATTTCTTTTTCATCATTTGATTATGAAATATAAATAAATGTCGTTCAATACAACACCAGGTTAAAAGATGTAAATTTACACACGTTAATGAATAATTTAACCAATTCCAAATAGCACAGAACGTGTATGTTTCTTGAACAATAATACCCCATCGAAGATAGTATAGAGCAAAAGGTGAATCAGTAATTGTCTGTATAAAACTAGCTGTAAGCAAACACGCAATCACATGATTTTGCGGTTTCATAAGAATTTCTTTTCGCCAATGACGAATAAAATAAATAAAAACAAATAAATCACAAATCAGTGATGGACCAATAGTTGTTTGTAAAATTGCATACTTTATTAGTCGAAGACGTTTGAGCGGATCCATCATGAACAAAATTGTTCTCTATATAATCAATCTGAAAGATGGAATCTTAGTTCTTATTTTCCAGTTTAGATTTACGTAATCTTTTCTAACAGAATCTATACAATGATTACAATATGATTGAGTAGTTTCGAATTTGAAGATGTATTGTATCCGAAAGTTACGATTCTAATTCTTATTTTCCCAAAAAGAATATTAATAGTCATTTTTTAAAATTATATGACTTTGTAGTCAAAAACCGAATATAACCGTAGCCAGAATCTCTGAAAGGGCAACTCATCATGAGAAAAGATGCAATTTCAGTGCATAATTCCGTTTGCTATATCTTTCGTTAATCAAATTTCCGTCCAAAGAGAAGGCTGTTCAAACTTGGACTTTGTACAAGTTGTCATCATACTTGAGGAAAAGAGATATGCGGGACCAAGTTTTTTTGGTTCCAGTCTCGGTCCCGGTATATTTCGTTTTTTGGTCCTGTTTTCGGTTCCGGTGATTTTAGTTTTGAGGATCTCGGTCTCGATCTAGAGAAAACTAATCCAGAATTATTCATATCACATCTCAGATAACTATTCAATACTCAATTTTTTTGATTTATTTAGTCGACGACTAGCACTTTTGAGGATATTTTTTCTTGAATTATGTTCTGATTCATATGATTTACAAGATAATTGGATTATAATCATACAATATCTTACTATAAACTTGAGTTCTGGTTCTGGTAGTTTTCTCAAGATCCTGGCCCGATACCGATTCCTGTGGTCGAAGCCGGAAGCAGGATTGTGACTGGTTGATCATATCTCTAATCATCATGTGTTTTTTTTTTTGTATTACAAGAGATTAGTATGATAATAATAAATTGATTCATGATATATGAAAAACATCACTTGAAAATTGGCAGAGTTAATGACATCATATAGCATCGAATTCCAGTCCCAGTCTCGGTAAAGTTATAATTTTTGGTCCTGCACATCTCTATTGAGGAAGTAGTTTTTTATTACCTGCTGGAAACATAGAATGGTATTTCATACACAATTCGAACAGCACGTCGCTTAGATACTCAAGTCAAACAATCAAATGATCAGCTGTTTTAAAATGCATATCTAATCTTGTATGATCTTTTAAAAATCAGATGAAAATGTACGAGAAATTGTGGTCTCTGCAAAGCTTACATCAAATCTTGGCATACAATTCTTACAAGATGTTACTGCTTTATAGGATCTTATACAATCTTTCGAAAAAAGATCATACAAGATCGTACAGACAATATGATCTTGGAAGAATCATATGCTAAGACTTGATATAAGCTTTGCAGAGACCACGATTTCTCGTATATTTTTCATACGATTTCATCTGATGTGCAAGATCCTACCTCTGATTTTGCGATCTGGATACGTTATTTTTAAGAAGGAATGATTTTCTTAGAGCTATAAACTCTGATACAAGTTCATAGAGACTCTTAAAAGATCTTCTTTGTACGACATCCAAAGAAACATACCTTTAAAAAAAATATATAAACGTTCAGTCGTAGTATGCGTTTGATCGTCTTGAGAAAACTGAAGCAGATACGATAAAAGCAAATAATATGATGTTGTGAAGCAGTAAAATCTCAGAAATATATATTTTTCAAGTTTGGTAGATTTTTTTCTTTTGATTTAAAATAAAGATGCGTAATTTCACAGAAAAATTTTCTTTCTGACGTTTTGGCGCCTAGAAACGTGATGTTCTCTGTATGATCACAGCTGCTTAAATGAAACGTGAAAAAAAATGATAGTAATTGCAAGTGAGTATTTATACGCATTTTCCAAATGTCAATTGGTTCGAACACTTTTGTTAGGACTTTATAAGGATATTCTATTGATCTTTGTACGCCATTTAATATGAGAATTTGTATGAAAAGAAAAACACTCATACAAGAAGAACAAATGCACGGGCGACAAACATCATTAAGAAATCAAACATAAGAGATTTGTCTCTTCCAACAGAGATGATTCTGATGTCAAGTCCTCATTTATGAGCGATCGAGAAGCTCTGTGTATTAGATCTAACTTAAATCATTTTAGATAGATAATTATTGAGGAGACCAAAAAAAAGATACTTTTCATATAAATGAAAAATGCAGAAAAATAAAGATCTATGATAACAATATCAAGGAAATACTTTCTATAAATAAAAATACAAAGAAATATAATTAATGCTCATTTCAAAAAAAACGGCGGCTGGGTATTTTTTGAATGACCTTGGATAGAAGTAGGATAGAAATCTGCAGTTTTCACCGTTGGAAAAGAGGAGATGAAGATGCATCAAGCTGTGTATTATAAGACCGTTTGACTTAGTTTTTTTTAACGACTTAAATAGACATTTGTGAAAAGCAACATACTCCATAACAGAGATGGAGTGGGCAGTAAAAAAGTCACATCGCCACCGCCCCGTCCCACCCCGTCGATAAAGTTCCGCACCGTCACCGCCTCGCCCCGCCCCGTTCAAAATATGTTTTCGGAGATTATTTCTCCACAAAATTTTTCAGGAGACTTTTATAATTACTATTTTATTTCATGAGATGAAAATGCATAATTTAAATACATACATATAATTTCGAAATAGAAAAACATAAACATTTAAGAATGAAAAACAATTACAATCACACATTTTTTTTACTGAACGTAAAAACTTAGTATTGTTAATTTGTTCAGGATTTAATCTAGTACGTCTTGAGCTAATCATCATTCTACTTGCACTAAATTGACGCGCAACATTAGCTGTGGTAGCTGGAATGGAATAAATCGAACGTGCTAGTTGAGATAATGTTGGATAAGCAAATCGATATTCATACCAAAATGTTAAAGGATTATCATCAATTGATTCCATATCAATTCGTTGCTCCAAATACTTGTTTAATTCATCATCATACTCGTTATCAAATTCATCACTAAGATTTCTAGTCTCGAAATCTTCTCCAAATCGTTTGGATTTTTTCTTTACTGGTTCATCTAATGTTACATTATTAACCATTGAAGAACGTTCTTCTGAAGTATCAGATTTCGATTTGTTCTTTTTCATTGATTTGATTTGTGCCATACGTTGACGAATATATAAATGACATTCTCATACTTCATATAACGAACACCTTTTCAGAAGTCGATATCTAGGATGTACAAGTGTAGCCGCCAAATGAACTGGCTCCAATTTAAACATAGAATGAGTAAATGATAAATACGTAAACGAGAAAAACGCATCCCTGTGTAAACGAGGAAGAATATTGTTTTTATATGATACATTTTACAAATAATTACCTTCTTCTTTTTCTTCAAATAATTCATCTTCATTTTCACTTAAATCTTCAGTTGATGAATTGATTCCATAGTTTTTATTATATTCAATCAACGATGTATATGACTCTAACGCTCGACGAAGTGTTAGAATAGCAATTGTTATTAAGTGAAGGGAAGGTGTTTTTCCTTTTTGAATGATAACTAAGAGATGTTTAAACGGTTTTAAAAGATGAATAAGTTGAGAAATGGCCATTTTATCATTGTTCTTCTCATTGGAAACATATTCTAAAAAGGACTTTTTACAAAATCTTCTATCAGTTAAGAAACAAGATTTTCGATAGATATAAAAGCATCTGTTCAAGATTATTAAATCCTATATTCTTTTTCTACAGTAGATACATGTTTTGTTTAAACTTTTCAAATCAAATTTTGATTCTTTGTCTTAAATGAATACTCATTCTATCTTTCAATCGCTTTAATGAAATAGATACACTTAATCATTTTATTCTCTTCAATATTCGTTTATTTCTATAAAATTCAAATAATATCTAGGGATGCCACGTTATCTGTACTTTAACAAATAAAGTATACAGACTTTACTTTGCCCAGTACAGTAAAGTGAAGTACAATGCGTTACATTTAATGTTGGTTTTCTAATCCAACATCATACACTGATAGTGCTGCAGTAAATCAAAATATTCTCAGAACTGTTTCTCGATTAAATAAGTGGGAAATTAACTATAGGAACTTGTTATACTATATTTTATTTTCATTGACATTGTTGAAAAAGTTAACACAAATGTGACTGATGTCAATATTTCCTCGACTATTGTCTCAATTTTGTCATTGGAATACTCTTTGTTAAATAATTACTCATAACAATGATTTACCGCGAGTGAGTTTATTAATTTTATAAAAAACATAAATCTATAAAGCAGAAAAATCAACGTTGTAAAACTATCATCTGGTAATAGCAAAGTTTTATTATACGAAGGCACACAAGGAAGCATAAATCAAAACAAATCAGGAAGTCTGCACAATTCTACTAAGGTACGTTTCTATTTTGGGTGTGGGTGGGTGTGGGTGTGGGTGGGAGGGTGAGAGTGTCGGTGTAGATGTGGGTGTGGGTGTGTGGGTCGATTAAGACGACTTGACATCCGTACTCACACCCACACCCACACCCACTCTCTTTCTATTATGATCTGTCACTTGCTGTAACCGATTCAATGTTTTGCTTTTCATCATCTATTTGCATTTTTTGCTTTAAACATTCTTCATTGTTATACTATTTGATTTTGTTTTCAACTTTCATTCGTCGTGAAAATGCTTAGCTCTCAATCGTTCTTCAATTACATCTCATACATTTTCAACTAGTCAAATATTATCAAATTTCAAAATTATTTATTTCTGTATCGTAATGACATTCGTCCATATCTTTTCGTTATTTCTTTTTTTTGTTACTGCAACTTATGATTACCAACAATAAAAAGATCAGTGGGCTTCTTTTTTTCGTTACACATGATGTGAACGAAATGACAGAACAAAAAAATTGTATGTAAGAAAACAAACATTACTCATTGTAAGTCGAGGATCGAATGATGACAATGCGTTTCTATTTAATCTATGATAGTTTTTGAAAAATAATTCATAATTTTTTATGACTTTTCAATAACTATCACCATAATAAACTAAAATTAACTTCGACCACTACGAACAAAAAATTTTTTTTATTTTTGCATCGTCATCCATCATAGTGAATGTTTTGTTTATCATAAGTGTCCTTTTTCTTTTTTTTAACTTTATCGTAAGATAAACATGATTCATCATTTTATAAGGAAAAATTTCCAACTAAAAACTGAGAGTTGGTATATCTCTAATTGAAAATATCTTTTTTATTAGAATTTTGAATATACATCAAAATAAAGCATATTCAAAATTTCGAAGTTCAGATTAATTCGATGAGTAAAAGAATTATTTTAATAGATCATTAGATCTTAATCAGTAACATGATAGACAAAAATTTTTCTTTCATTTTTTTTCATTAATCGAATTGTTCTAATTATTTTTAATACAATTTAGTTATTGTATCATTGAAATCAATAAGAAACAAAAACTATATGTATTAATCATAGAAATATTTTTATTATTTTCAAAATATCAAAATAGAAAAATAAACAACAACAATAAATTTACTTTTAATTAGATTGCTACTAGTATAAATAATATTGAGATATGTAGTTGAGAAGAACCAGAATTGTCAAATAATATCTGATTATATACAATATGAACATTATTTCCGTAGAATGTATTTACATTAATTTTGTTCATTAATATAATATTTCATAATTGTTAACCATCATCATTTGTTGAATTCGATCCCGATGTCTCATTTATTATTTCAACACCTTTAGCATCATCGACATCGTCAAGTGTTTGATTTTGCATAGTGCTTGCTATTTGTAACGACTTTTTTTTCCTGTAAAAAATGAGTACTTGAATCACTTTTATTTATACTCTATTTCAACTGCTTTTATACTAAAAAAACTCCAAGTTTGGTGCGTCACAATTTATGATTTCTATCAGAACACATAAGGTATCAACCAAAGTCACGAAGATATAATAGTTTCATATTGGAAATCACCCAAGAGATGATGTCAGCATTTTTCAACATCGAAAATCATAAATCAAAACATTTTGTACTGAGCCATTACTCATAATAATACAGTATGATAAACGATTGATATACTTATATGGTTTCTATTTTATTATACTAATACAAGATACGTAAAAAGTGAAAAATGTCTAATAAATCATAAGTTTCTTCCATGTATAAGAGGTAGTGACTATATTTGAAGAAGACTTATGTATGCGCACACATAAAGCCTCCGGTTTTCTTTTCAAAACGTCGAACAAGACGAAACAAATAGAATTTCGAACTATTCTCATAGGCTTCTAATCTCAATGCACTATTATGTATAATCGATAAATTTACAAATATTGATTTTTTTTTCATGTTTTAAATATGTTTCTAAAAGTGTAAGATTTATTGTCTGTTATCTGCAACAAATAGTTAATTAGACAAAATGATTGAAATACATATAATTACAGGGTGGTCCATAAGACACTCGACACTCTTGTATTACGAATAATTTTTGATAGGAACAAGATATAGAGCTGCTGTTTTCACCATTTGAAAGAGCGATGTTCGGACCATCGATCTATATAATATTCACTAGGATGAAAGATGCTTTTACATAGGAGCTTTCAATTAACATTCTTTTTTTTGTGCATTTTCATAAATTTGCACATTAATCTCGCCTCAAATTACATCAAAATATAGCTAAAATCACCCATTTTTCGCTATAAAAGTATCATTTTATGCATTATTCCGTCGACCTCTTTTTTCAAGTGCACCTTCGGAAAATACTGAAAATTTATACCAAAAAATGGGTGATTTTAGCTATATTTTGGTGTAATTTGAGGCAAGATTAATTTGAAAATTTATGAAAATGCACAAAAAAAAAGAATCTCAATTGAAAAGTTCCTACGTAAAAGCATCTTTCGTCCTAGTAAACATAATATGGATCGATGGTCCAAACATTGCTCTTTCAAATGATGAAAACAGCAGGTCTATATCTTGTTTCTATCAAAAGTGACTCGCAATACAAGATTGTCGAGTGACTGATGGACCACCATGTATGTACATTCAATAGATTATAATCGAAATATTGATCTTAATTACATATTGATAAGCACTTTCAATTAATTTATTTTCAAATATTCATTAAAAACGTGACTATAAAATTATATTATTTATAAAAGTATTGTTCTTTTTGATTTTTACTATATGAGAGAGATAATACTTAAAGCAATTAATATATCATTCAATATGATGAAAGAAGATTATCTTTATTTAATTATATTTGTTATAATATGCGTATCTAGTGAGACAAGAAAAAAGAAGACTATATATAAAGAACAATATTGTCGCATACTCAATTCATTTTTATTTCTACAATCAATCGAAATAATATTAACAAATCTTTACTCACACCCCTTTTTTACATTGAGATAACAGTTCAATAATAATGTAAATTTCTAGTGTTTTTTTTCAGTGAATAAGAATCGCATCTATATCAAAATATCGATGATAGGCCTTTATTATTCGATTAAAGTTCCTCTATAAAAAAAAACTAGACAAAATTATTAACAAGATTTACTATTTAATGTGCCAAAGACGAAATCTATATAAGAAAGTTTGAATAGTGATGCTATTAACTTGATAGAACAAAGCCTGTGCTATGAGATGTATTAATTAGTTTTTATCGCATCCAAATGTATATATCTTGACAGTTTTAGAGGAAATGTTTCAACTCGTCACGTTTTTTCTTGTCTGGCTTTCATAACGAATTGACAGTACGAAAGCCCGTGACAGAGCTTTTGCAACGACAGAATCAGGGCTTTCGTAACAAAAAATCAGGAGTTTCGTAACAAATTTTACAGGGTGATCGTAATTGGTGTGGGCAGGGCTGGCCCGAGAGGGGGTTTTTGGGGTTGTGACAACCCCCCAATAATCGAAAATTTTCGTTTTTACCCAGCAAAAATGAATTTTTTTTCGTGAGTAGTGTTAGAAAAAAGTTTTATTCGCATTAAAAATATCCGAAACAACCCCCCAAAAAATCGCGACAACCCCCCCCAATGTTTGCTGACTCGGGCCAGCCCTGAGTGTGGGTGGGGTGTGGGTGTGGGTATGGGTGTGGGTGTGGGTGTGGGTGGATGTGGGTGTTGTCCTCCTTCCGCTAGCGACCGCACCCACGCCCACACCAACACCCACACACCCACATCCACATCCACACCCCACCCACACTCCACCCACACCCACACCCACCCACACCCACACACACCCACACCCACACCCACACACCACCACAACCACACGCACACCACCACACCCACCCACACCCACACACCCACCCACACCCTAAGAAACTCCATAAGAAACATGAATTCGAACAGGTAGTAGATCAATATATTATAGGATTTAAAAAGTGCAAGGTTAAATCGTCAAGACAGACACATCAGACTTTTTGTGATCATAATGTAACAGTTGAAATTGTATCGTTCCGCTCAAAGATTTTTTATTAAATATAAGTACACTATTACTAAAAAAAGTATATTTTGTTCGTAATTCTTTTTACATATTTGTAAAAAACAACATTCAAATATAAACAAATCTAATCTTTTTAAAATCATGTCTTACATCAAATCAAACGATGATTTTACTTGTTAAATCGAAGAAGTTATTTATAAGAAAGATTATATAAAACTAACAGTTTGAGGTTCATAACAGTATACCTAATGTCGACATGAGACTTAAAGGTATTCAATATTAACTACGTACTCTTTCAGCCTCGCACCAACATTAGTAAAAAAACGAAGATGAAAATGAATTGCAATTTGAAGAATATTTGATTTATTTATGTATGAAAATTCGGTTTAACATATAAATAACTTCTATATGTATTTCCATGTCATAAAAATCGCATCGCTTTCGGCAACTAATTGGAATATGAGCAAAACATCGTTGATTTATGTTGTGAAGTGACACTTCGTTGTCCTATTTTGTCGCTATGCTCTCTGCATTTCCATTCGACGTCTCTTTTCTTCTTTACTTTCATATATACACTGATGTTAGGTGAACAAATTACGGATTCGATATCATTGTGTGCCTCGGAGTATGGGTGTTCCTATCAAGTACCCTGTTGCAAACTCACACCCACACCCTGTCCATTTATTTTAGTACTCCTCTTCACTTCAAATCAAACAGAATATATTTACAATCAAATGAACACTGAAAAGAATTTTAAATTCTAACAGGCAATATTTTCTTTCTAAAATGTGATCTAATTCTGAAGTTCGCAGGACATTTAATGAAATGAAATTCAATTATTTGTTTTTGTCTTCGTTCAATTTCATGTAGTAAAATCTTTTTATACCAAGTAATTCATTTTTGTTTTATATTTCGAGCTTACATAATACACGGTACAGGACGAAAACGAGCATTATTTCATAGTTAAAGCATCCACTTATTATTTTTTTGTTATTTATTTTATTCTTATAACTGTTTCTATAGGAGTAGAAGACTCATAAGAACAAAATATAAAATATGGCAATATATGAATTATTTATTTCTAAAGGTAAGAAACGAAAACGAAAGAAGAAAAATGGTAATAACATGAACAAAATGTTTTAGAAGCAAACTAAGATTAAGATTCTTGCAAAAAGATTAAATTTCAGCGTTGTTTTTGCTCAATCTGATCGATTCTAGTTAGATATTTTTTAAATTTTATTACAAGTTTGTATAAACTTTGAATTAAGGTCATTTTTTATATGCAGTAACGTTACAAGTGAATTAGGTAAGAATAGCTTTAAGAATAATATCGAAATTCGAATTGAGATTGTAAGACCTTTCTTCTACTCGTAATTTCTATGTGAAAATCTGTAACGAGTGAGCAAGTGTGTATAATAATCAAGAGAGACAAACGTCAAGAGTATGATTGAGAAAAATCTTGTGCTCATATCTAAATAGGCACAAGCTATAATATATTTGATTAATCTTTTATACAAAATTTCTATAAGTTAGTAGTGACGAATAAAAATGATGCATAAAGAATATTTACTTTTAATAAAGAAAGGATTCTCAATTCTACTTCTATAGTTTCATTGACATACGTATTGTTATTTACAATCCTATGAATCTCTTTTTGTATGCAACATAGATGATTATTATTCTTTGTAATTATTTATTACCACTCTACAATATGTCATGATAACAAAACTAGGAGTTATTTTTTGCAAATATTATCTTTCCATTTATTTTCAATATAAGAACATTGTTCATTCATCTTTACTAAGAAACAATCAAAAAAAAAGTCTAAAAAAAAGTCTAAAAAAAAATCTATGACAATATTGATTTACAAAACAGAGAACGTCGCTAGACTTATTTTTGCTTCCGATCCTACCTACTACAGAACAAAATTCTAAAGTATAAAAAATTGTATATGAGTTATGTCGTTAAATATTATTAAATTACTAGCTAATTACATGAAAATAATTTACAACATCCTGTCAATAATAAAATTTATCCAACGTGCCCAACGAGAAAAATAGCGAAAAAAATATATTGTTAATTGCAATGTAAATAAGAAATGATGAGTCTTCTTTATATTGATGCTTTCAGAAATTCTCAAATAAACGAATGAATAATGTTAATCTTACCGTAACTTTCAATACCGTATAAAACTTGGACTCTTATCCTAATCTACCCAGTAAAATTTTAATTCTCATCTTAACCAAGGAACTTTTCTCTGAATCTTTCTTATAATAGGTTAGCCTATAAAGGTTTTAAAAGTGCAGATCCTTCTCATATCAAGAGTATAAGTGAA